CACCCGTCGCCCTGGCCTGAATATGGTTGCAACGTTGGATTGATACTGACAATACTGGGCTTGGCTGTTCCACAGCAAACCAAGGATTAAGGAGAATTTTTATTTCAGTTTTGTAACTTTTCAGTAAGGTTTTTTTGTTTTGATTGTTTGTCCTTCAGTTTCGAGCTAGAGTAATCTCAAACTACACAAAACAATAAGTAGTCAAAAAAAATTGTAAGTGAGAAAAATAAACATTTCTTTTAACAACCCAACCATGTGCTGTACTTTCTTCTTGAGTCAACTCCTTTTAAACATTCGAAGTTCTCCTTTCTAGTGGCACCAGTGCCAAAGACGAACTCGTGATTTGAAAATCTGTTTTCAGTCCAGTTTCTATTTTTTATCTTTCTTTCTTTTCTTCTTTTAGATCTTCTAAACGTTTCTACTGAAGTATTGAAAAAGTTATAAACTGTTATAAAGTGGGTCCAGCAACCTTTCCACCCCCTCCCCTCTCCCCTCACCATCCATCCCAGTCCGTGTAGAGTTGGAAAAAACACTGGAGAGATGTTACAATAACATGATGCTGTTCTTTGTTCTCAATTTGGAATTTGAAGTTCAGCTTTCTAGTGGCACCGAATTAATGAACTCTTGATCTGAAACTGTATTTAAAAGCAAAATAGTTGAGGGAATTAACGCCAGAAAAATAAGCAGTGTTCTTCCTAGAACTTCCCTCTTGAGTTTTTGAGCTGCCTAACAATTGTTTGCCAGTAGCCACTAGTTATGCAAGCAGGTAGATTTCAATTTTTAAGATGCTGGTGCTGGCAATATTGGCAATTCTTACATGCATTTTTTTACCATACGCTCGATTTCTGCTGCTCTCCCAAGCGCAAGCTCATTCTTCAAGACAGCAGCTGGTAATCAAGCCTAGTTTTATCATTGCAACATTTTAACCCATCATTAGTTTGTTTGCCAGCATGGAACAAGGAAAGAGCCCATTAACTTTTGCATGTTTCCGTGACAGTTGGATGCCCCAGCATAAGGAGACTAGTGATGACCTAGATCCTTTCTGAACAAACTGTAGTTTTTGTTATACAATGTAGATGAGAGTAAATTTACAATTATTGCGATATACATGTATTATGATATCATATATTTTAGTGATATGGTAATGGTGAAGAGCGCCCTTAATTCTATAATAGTGTGAAAGTAAAGTATTTTTAAAATGCAGTAATAGACATTTATTTAGAAGTGACTGCCTTGACTGACAATGTTTACATTGAACTTGCAAAGCTCCAGGAAGTGAAAGTTTGGGAGAACTGGAAAAGCTGTAGAAACACTCGCCCACAGCTTGTGTTCCCACAGCATTCCTCATTCTCCCAAACTTCCTCTTGTCTTTCTATAACTCGATAGAAACACGGTACATGTTTTCTATTTCTTAAGTAGAATTCTACTAGTAATACTAATTCAAATGCTGCAATCTGATTGGCTGAGCTCGTCATATACTAATAATCAGCCAATAGAATGCGACGTTTTCTAGTTTCTCTGCTGTTTGGAGGAAGATTTAGAAATATTACTGGATAGTTACATTCCTAAGAACTGTAAAGAAAGGATATTGACTGTTCTGCGACTTTAAAATCTCAAAATATTTGACAGATGAGTGCACGTGCACAAATGCAAGTTTCAAATAACAATTCAACCTGCGTTATTTCGCTAACGCATGAAGTTTAACACTACGTTGAGAAATGATTGGAAATCATTTTATTTTGATGCAAACTTAGTTAAAATTCTACGAGAACAATTAGACCTTTCGCTCTCGATTTCTATTGAACAAGTAGATTATGAGCTTGAGATTTCTATCGTGTGATAGTTGACGAGGGAGCAGCGGATAATCTAATTGTTTTAGTATAAATCTACTAGTCGTTCAAAACTTTATCTAAATCCTCTTCACAGGCACTTTGAAAACGCCAAGAAGCAGCCATCACTTTGTTAACTATGGAGCATTAGCATGCTACTCACTATCTACAACAGAACAGATAGTGAGCAGCGCAGCCAATCAGAGAACAGCATCCATGATAGAACATTATTAGATTTATACTGAGGTGATATGTTAAGTTGATTCAGCCATCAGCCTCATCAACTATCACCTCATAAAAATCTTGAGCTATATTAATCTTATTGTTTATTATTAAACACTGGATCACATTAGATAATGCAATTCAAGAGTTTTCATTGGCTTAGCCATCATGGTACATGTGCAAATTTATACCATGCTCAGAGTACAAATATGGTAAGTGTAACTTTTTAAGGCATTTTATTTTTCTATTTTTACTTTAGTTTTCTATATTTTCGGGGTGTAGTTAATAAAAAATTATTCCTTTTGCACTTGTGGGATGTGAGATGATAATAGCCAACCTCATTGGCAAATCTGTCATCTTATATCCAACACATGCTCGTGGAATAATTGATAGTCAATTATAGTCTTTGGCAATTTTGGATTAATATCACATCTAATCCTACTATTCCTAAACTACAATTATTTACTGTATAAGTACAATTAACAAATGGTAAACGCCATAGCATGTACTATTGAGTTATGGATGCACTTGGGAGGTTGCTAAGCACGAAAGAAGCATAAGAGTCGCACG